TGGCAAGATTCCTTCAAGGTTGTTCCAGACATCTTGGAGAAGTAATCACAGATCCTCTGTGGATGTAGGCTGCCTCAAATCCTTCTGTCTCTTCATGTGATCCCAAACAGACTGGACGGTGTTGAGATCAGAGCTCTGTGGGAGGCAAACCATCATTTCCAGGACTTCTTCTTTACACTGAAAGTAGTTCTTAATAACATTGGCTGTATGTTTGGGGCTGTTGTATTGCTGCAGAATAAACTTGGGACCAATCACATGCCTTCTTGATGGTATGGTTTGAATATCCACCTATATTTCTCAGCATTGAGGACACCCATTGATCCTGATCAAATTTCCAAGTCCATTTGTAGAAATGCAGCCCCAAACTTGCAAAGAACGTCCGTCATGCTTCACTGTTGCCTGCAGACACTAATTTTTGTACCGTTCTCCAGCCCTTCAGTGAACAAACTGCCTCCTGCTACAGCCCAATATTTCAAATTTTGACTCATCAGTCCAGAGCACTTGCTGCCATTTTTCTATGCACCCCAGTTCCTATGTTTTCATGCATAGTTGAGTCACTCAGCCTTGTTTCCATGTCAGAGGTATGGCTTTTTGACCGCAATTCTTCCATGAAGACCACTTCTGGCCAGACTTCTCCAGGCAGTAGATGGGTATGTCTGAGTCCCACTGGTTTCTGTCAGTTCTGTGCTGATGGCATTGCTGGACAACTTCTGATGTCAAAAAGAAGTAAGCATGATGTGTATTTCTTCAGCTGCATTATTTATTTTATTTATTTTATTTTATTATTGCGATTTATATGCCACCTTTCTCCCTGGGGACTCAAGGCGGCTTACAAAATGACAAATCCCAATACAAATCACAATGAAATAAAATTAAAATCAGCGACCCTATTAAAAACAGTTTTAATTACATTTAATTACATTACATTTCTTTAGCTGACCACTGTGTCCACGGTCCTGAAGGTTTCTTTGTGCTTCTTTGTTAGCAACATAATTTTAAATTGGATGTTTTAAATTTTTGGGGTTTTAAATTAAGCCAAACTTATTTAATACTTTTAAATTATTTTAAATTGATGTTTATTCTGTTTTTAATTAGGCTGTACACCGCCCTGAGTCCTTCGGGAGAAGGGCGGTATAGAAATAAAATTATTATTATTATTATTATTTGAAAGAGCTTGAAAAAACACATCTAGAAACCCCAGTCTGCTTTGAAATCTTTGCCTGGGAGAGATAAAGATTATAACTATCTTTTGCCTTGTTCCTGTGCTCAGTTTTGCCATGGTGTATGACCTGTGGCATGAAACTGTCTTCCATAACCTCACCTCAGTAGTAGACTTTGCTTTTCTTCACCCAGTTTTAAGTCTCCAACCCATTTCTGTTTCTGTTAATAATTGTCTTTCACCCTACCTATGAAATAGATGATCATTAGCACCTGCTTGGTATAACTGGTTAATCGTACATCTGACTCTACTCCTACAAAACCCCTGACTTTGTACAAGTGAAAGAGTAGATGCTGTTTTGAAGGCAAAATATGGTCACACCAAATACTGAGTGGATCTGGATTTTTTTTTTGGTTCATTTACTTTCCATTTTGCTAATTGATAAAAAAAAAACTATTAACACATATTTCTCAAAGGTTTCTTAATTTACAGATTTTTTGTGCAATTTCCTAACACTAGGAAGTATTGTATACTCGTACATGCTATATGAGTATGTATGGAAGCTATATATCCAATATATATAGAAAAAATTCATACTCGCTTAGGATCCTTTAGTGAGACACCTTTTTAGGACCTGACTCATAAATTGGAAACATTTTAAAGCAGGAAATCACAACACATTCTTGTATTTTTAAACTTCTCCTAAGATGCCTTGAATCTTTATGCAAACCAAAAATCTGTTTAAATCTTAAGTACATAAATGCAGGTAGTCCTCGACTTACAACCACAACTGAGCCCAAAATTTCTGTTGTTAAGTGAGACATGGGTTAAGTGACTTTTGCCCCATTTTATGACCTTTCTTGCCACAGTTAAGTGAATCTTTGCAGTTGACAAATTAGTCACCTAGTTGTTAAGTGAATCTGGTTTCCCCATTGATTTGTCAGAAGGTCACAAAAGGTGACCACGTGATCCCGGAACACAGCAACAGTGCTAAATATGAACCAGTTGTCAAGCATCTGAATTTTGATCATGGGGATGCTGCAAAGGTTTTTGACTGTGAAAAATGGTCATAAGTCACAGTTTTCTGTGCTATTGTAACTTTGAACAGTCACTAAATGAACTGTTGTAAGTCGAGGATTACCTGTAAAGACAAAATACATACTCACATAGCATCCTTTAATGAGCTACCTTTTTAGGACCTGACTTATAAAACAGAAACATTTTAAACCAGGAAAGCACAACACGATCTTTTATTTTTTAAAATTTATCCTAAACTTTGAATCTTTCCGCAAACCAAAAATCTGTTTAAATCTTTAAATAAATACCCTGTTTCCCCCAAAATAAAGACATCCCCTGATAATAAGCCCAATCGGGCTTTTGAGCGCATGGCAATAAGGCCAAGTGCTTATTTCAGGGTTCAAAAACATATAAGACAGAGTCTTATTTTCGGGAAACACGGTACACAAATAAATGTTTCTCTAAAATCTCCTATAACCACAATTGCTGAACTCGGTGCACCAATTTCTTTCCTTTGGATGCAGGAAACACATAAAAACTGGAAGTAAGCAAAATTTTTAAAGCCAAGCCTTCCCCAGGGGGGCACTTCCCCTCCCAATTTCAAGAGGATGGACAATTCAGGGAAGAAACACACAGGGGCATTTCCTCCTTTCAAGTCTTGAAACATTAGCAAGTGAACAGTGCAATCTTGTAAGATGCCTGTTGCAAGTAAGTGCCTATTCTATTTTTCCATTACTTTGCTACTGAATATGTTTACAACTTCATTTCTCTGTTTTTAAGGTTGTACGTCTCATTTCCTTAGAGTCCTGCGGAAAAATCAGATGGAACAACGGCTGATGACCACTTTCTATCTGTTTACGATAGAAAGTATCCTTACATCAGGGGTGAAATCCAGCAGGTACTGCAGGTTCTTGAGAACCAGTAGTGGAAATTTTGAGTAGTTCGGAGAACCAGCAAATACCACCTCTGGCTGGCCCCAGAGTGGGATGGGAATGGAGATTTTGCAATATCCTTTCCTGGAGTGAGGTGGGAATGGAAATTTTGCAATATCCTTTCCCTGCCATGCCCACCAAGCCACGCCCACCAAGCCACACCACACCCACACCTACAGAACCAGTAGTAAAAAAATTTGAATTCCACCACTGCCTTACATACTGTATAACAGTATGATACGCTGGTTCAACAGCTGCGGACAGGAAGGCACTACAGAGAGTGATCAATTCAGCACAAGAAATCATTGGTTGCCCCCTAACACCACTGGATGACATGGCCAGGTCTCATTGTTTCAGCAGAGTAAGGAAGATACTTAGGGACGATTCACATCCTGGTCAATGTCTTTTCTCACTTTTACCATCGGGCAGAAGACACAGAAGTATAGCCAGCCGGACAAACAGGTTTAAAAACAGCTTTCATCCATGGGCTGTCGGACTCCTAAATACAACTACAATCATTCAATGCATTCATGGAAACATATGACTGGTTTCTCCCTAATCACTTGTATAAGGACCATTTTCTATATTATTCATGTTGTTTTGTATTTTGTTATGGATTGCACCAGTAGAGGATAAATCAATTTCATTGTATACATGTACAGTGACAATAAAGGTTATTATTATTAGTAGTAGTAGTACCTAGTTTCCCCTAAAATAAGTCATCCCCTGATAATAAGTCCAATCGGGTTTTTGAGTGCATGCACTAAAATAAGCCCTCCCCAAAAATATTTAAATGCATGCACAGCCGGTCCCCACCATTTCCTCTGCTTTCCTCCACATGCCCCAAAATAAGACCTCCCTGAAAACAAGGCCAAGCGCTTATTTCGGGGTTCAAAAAAATATAAGACAGGGTCTTATTTTCGGGGAAACATGGTAATAGTAGTAGCCTCACAGGATTGGGGCACTTCCCTTCCTGGGATGCCTGCAAGACCTGGGCAACAGCTCCCGTTAGGCTGGAGGAAGATGAAGATGAAGGGCACTAAAGTAAAGGTAAAGGTTCCCCTCGCACATATGTGCTAGTCGTTCCCGACTCTAGGGGGCGGTGCTCATCTCCATTTCAAAGCCGAAAAGCCAGCGCTGTCTGAAGACGTCTCCGTGGTCATGTGGCCGGCATGACTAAATGCCAAAGGTGCACGGAACGCTGTTACCTTCCCACCAAAGGCGGTCTCTATTTTTTCTACTTGCATTTTTTGACGTGCTTTCAAACTGCTAGGTTGGCAGAAGCTGGGACAAGTAACGGGAGCTCACCCCGTGACACGGCACTAGGGATTCGAACCGCTGAACTGCCAACCTTTCGATCGACAAGCTCAGCGTCTTAACCACTGAGCCACCGCATCCCTTTAATAGGGCACTACAGGTGTGCAAAGCATCAAAATTGAGGGAAACCAGCTTTGCAGAATTGCTGCCCCAAAGCAATTCTTTGGCTCCCCTCGACCAGAGTTTCTCGACCTCACCAAAGGTTTAAAAGAGATGGAGAAACTCTGTAGTAGCCTCCCTCTCAAACCAAGGCAGGACATGATTCCCCATCCAATTTCAAAGAGGCTAAACCAAATTTTGGCAAAGAGCTCTGCCTTACACCCTGACCCATACATAAGCTTGCCCCTAAAATTAAAACCTAGCAACGTTTAGCCCGACTTCAGCATTTTTCGATCAGCTACTTAGCTCTCCTCAGCGGCGTCTCTCGCATCGAAGAGCGGAGGGTTTACATTTCCACCCCGCCACTAAAGACACGGGAGTCCCGCCAGAAAAACCGAAACAGGGTCACCTGTCACCAAAGGAAAAGATCCGGGAAGAAAAAGAGGCGGATTCAGGCGAGGATCTCCGATACTCACGTCTCCAGTCGGCGGGGGGGCGCGCGTAAAAGATGCTCCCGTGGAGAAGGGAGAGGTGGAGGAGACCCTTGCCAGGTCCGCTTTGCTCCGTTCCTACGTTACCCCAGTTGAACACGCGTCGGGGAAACGACAAATGGTAGAGAATTCCAACTTCCGTCTGGCACTTCTCGGGTTCCCCACCCTTAATGGGGAACGGCTTTCCGAGAAGAAAGTGGGGGGGGGTATTGGGAAAGCGGAGGAGGAAGAGTGGGAAGGAAGGCGCGAAGGTCCTCGGTGGGAGAAAACTTTTACTATTCGTTCTCCCAGCTTCCCGTGAATGTTGTGGGGATGAGTCACGTGGAGCTTCGCGGTCCTGTTCCTCCCCTCCTCCCGCCCCGGCTTGTGTGTCTGAACCCTCCCAACTTCTGCAGAAACCGCGGAGGAACTGCCATTGCGAAAGTTCGGCTTCCACCGCTTTCCTGGAGGCCCCGGGGCCGGCTTGAAAGGTTCGTCCTGGGCCCTGGAAGAGCCTCCCGCGGCGCCCTGGAAGAGGCTGGCCTGGGAAGCCCCGCAGCTTTGAAAAAGGCTCTTCTTCGCGGTCACATTTTTATTTTATTTTTATTTTATTTTATTTTATTTTTTTTACCACGGAGCGATTTGTTTCTCGCTTCTAAGTGAAGATCCCGGATTTTTCTCTCTCGGGCGCATCTTAGCGTTTCGTTTTTCTCCGTTTCTTCCGAATGTCTGGAATAAACCTTTTTTATTTATTTATTTAAGTTTTTGGCTTGATCTCTTAAATCTTCCGACAAAACCACCCGGGATCCTAATAAATAGGCTTTGGATTAAGCAGCTCAATAAATTGAATGAATAGATAAATTGTTGGTTCCCAATGCCAATTGTTTTCTCGCTCTCTTTTTTTGTTAATTTTTTTTATTTTTATAAAACAAATAAACATTATCAATCATCCCTTTCCTGTGACATCTGAGTGTTGACTTCTACTTTTCTTTTTGTTCTTGTTCCAACAGTTTCTTCTATCTTAATCGTCATCCAATCCACTGTAAAAGTTCATTCTTGTACAAAACAAATTCCAATTGTTTTCTCCCTTGTTGTTTTCTGTCCCCTGAATTCAATAGTGCACCGAACTGGCGCTATTGGTTTCTGGGGAAAAGCTAAACTGTTAACTTAATTATTGTGTGCTATCTAATAACTTCTCTAATTGGAACCATCTGACTAATGTGAAAGCCCGAACCACAAACTCCAGAAATGGGTGACATAGAAATTCTCCACCAGGCACAGCCAATGATTCAGGAGTATTGTGTAATTCAAGAGGCTTTGCCAGTCTAAAATTTTGAGAGAGAGTCTGAAATGATCGCCTGGCAGATGGATAGATCCAAATGAACAATGAAACATTGAGATCATGTCTCATTGAGATCATTGGATGTTTTAATCTTTGAGCCTAAATTATTTAATCTGTTTTTAATAGTTTTTAACTTTTGTATGTCTTTGTATTTTTATTTTGGCTGTTCACCGCCCTGAGTCCTTCGGGAGTAGGGCGGTATACAAATATGAAAAATAAATAAATAAATAAATGTCTACTGCAGACAACAGATCAGGAGACTGATCTGATCTTAAAGCTGGAAGAAGTAAAGCTGGAACAAGTAAAGACAACTTTAACCATGGGCTTGGCCTGTGATAATAAGAGCAATATCAGACAGACAGGGCATGTGACAATGGTTGATGGGAAAATAAACCCACCAGCTTCCCACCCATCCACTCACTGATATAGTCTTACTTGCATTGCAATCCATTGGGTAGTGCTGGCTTAATTAGTTCCAATTAAAATGATATGCCAGATTTAAAAATGGCATACACCATAGCTCTTAGTCAGCCTCAGATTACAAAATGCAGAGGATGGCCCTGTCACAAAAAAGTCCAGAAATTGTGAAATGCAGAGGAGGGTCCTGTTGCAATAAAATCCAGAAATTAAGCCAGCAACCAGGGCCATGGAGGAATGCAGATTGAACTCCGATTTGAAATGAGAGTTATAAATTTAATGCATTTTTTAATGGAAAAATGGAACCCTTTAATGGAAGGGTTAACTTTCAGGGACCACGCAATGGAGGCACCGCAAACTTTGAAAACAAAAGGAATTTTCATCCTGAATCTGTTTCTAGCCATCTGCATGGCCGGAACTCCCCTGGTTTGAAAAGAAGAGAAGGAATGAGATTTGTAGAAAGAATCCTGCAAAATACTTCCTTTCTTCCCCGGATGCAAATAACCCTTCTTGAGAAGAGGTAAGTGGGCTGCAGATGTATTACAGTAGTGGCCAAAATTGTGGAAACCTTTTGGGGAAAGTGTATTTTCTAAAACTAGCTAATAGTGCCACTTTTTTTGGAGTAGTACCATAAAATGATATATCAACGGAAAGATAATTTAATCAAGAATGTAATGTAATAACTTTTATGAAGGATTTGCTATTGGAATAGCAGTTATAGTATAAAGAAGAAAAGTGAAACACGTAGAAAAAACGAGATATACAAAAATTATCACCGTGTCAGTTAATATATGGTTGGGTAACCTTTAGCATGAATTGCGGCCTTACAACATCTTCCCATGGAGTGAACCAAATCTTTTAGTTCTGCAGCTGTTATAATGCGAAACCAAGATTGAATGATTGCTTTATTAACTGGGCTTTATTGCTGGGTCGCTTCTGACTAACAAGTTTCTTTAGTCGGCTCCATACAGAGTTGAAATTCAGCAGGTTCTGGAGAACCGGTAGTGGAAATTGTGAGTAGTTCGGCGAACCGGCAAATACTACCTCTGGCTGGCCCCAGAGTGGGGAGGGAATGGGGATTTTGCAGTATCTTGCCCCTGGAGTAGGGTAGAAATGGAGATTTTGCAGTATTCTTCCCCTGCCACACCACACCCCCAAGCCACACCCACAGAACCAGTAGTAAAAAAAATTTCAGTTCCATCACTGGTTCCATAGATTTTCAATTGGGTTAAGATCTGGTCTATTCCCAGGCCATTCCAGCAGTGGAATATGATTATCTTGAACCCCCCCCCCAAAAAAGTGGTGTTATTAGCCATCAAACTTCAAAAATACACTTTCCCCAAAAGGTTTCCACAATTTTGGCCACTACTGTATGTATAGTTTTCCCCTCTATGAAAGCTCTGTCTGTAGCATTGGATCAATGACAATCATCTACATGTGCAAAATTACTTGAATGGTACAATCATCAAAAGAACAAGCTTGTATATATAAACCATATCACAGTCAAATGTTGATTGGCTACACAAGTTTCCTGCCCAGAAAGTGAACACAGCAGGAAACCCTTAACGGAGTCCTTACCCATTGCAATCCTCAGACACATTTTTCCATGTTATTTCTCTCAAGGAAACCACTTGCATGAAGGTTGTTTTAGAATGTGTGAAATGATCCTTCATTAGATCTCAACATGCAACTCAGTTCAAATCTTGGTGCAGTTTTAAGCTTCCAACTCAACATTAAGGCTCTTTGCTTAGAAATAAGTCCCATAAGTGTATGAATTGTAATCATATTCTAGAGAGTGCACCTCATAGATGAAAATTATAAGGCATATTGTTGCACTTTGTAGAAATGAATATTGTTTGCTTTCTGGACAGTTCTCTGAAATAGAACTGGGATCTCAGCCAATAAATGCTTTGTAATAAATGTGAAAAATGTAAAAAAAAAAAAAAAAGGACAAAAACATGCTAGGATACGTCTCCATTGTATTGTTTCTCAACCTTGGACTCATATTTTAATAATTTTAAATTTTGTATTGGTATGTGTTTTAGTTCTGGCTGTGCACCGCCTGAGTCCACTAGGAGAAGGGCGGTATACAAATTGAAATAATAATAATAATAATAATAATAATAATAATAATAATAATAATAATAATATAGTGACCCAAACTGGACTTTCTTGTTTTTCTTTGAAGATGTGTCGCTTCTCATCCAAGAAGCTTCTTCAACTCTGACTCCATTCCCCACCATCCAGTCAGAGCTGAAGAAGCTTCTTGAATGAGAAGCGAAACATCTTCAAAGAAAAACAAGAAAGTCCAGTTGCCTCTTGAAAAGCACCTTTGGGAGAACCATGACCTGGATGACTAAGAAGCTCCATAGACAATCATACAGTGTTTGTATCTAGGAAACAATTGCATTATTCTTATCCCAACTCCCTAAATTTTGGGGATGGGAGATTACTCTGCAATTTTCATATATTATGTTTATGCTTTTTAGTTTTAAGAAATATTTGTGCTGTATTTGTATTGAAATATTTGTATGGGAGGCTGAATTTATTTCAGCTGCCAATTGTCCATTTATTTATTTCTGTTCTTTATGGTTTTTTTTAATTGTTGTCCCTTGTTTCAGATAGGCAACCCTATAAATTGACTAAATGGAACTTTGGGATAGTCCCATTGTGAAAATTCCAGGTGACCCTTTGTGGGGGTGAAATAAAATAGACTTTGTCACATTTTTTTCAACATGATAAATAAACTCCCTGTGATAATTCCAGGGATATATAATTAAGGATGAAGTTCAAAGAAAATAATGTAATCCAGCCCCACACAGCTCTGAATGCTTTGTCCTGTGTTCTCATGAAATTGTAAAGTTATCTGCATTTTCTAGAGCATTTTTATTCATTGCAACCCAATGAAATGTTGGAAAGAAGCTACATATTGTAAATGAGCTCAGAATCCTGTTCATCAGCCTATCTGTCCATCAGCATAATAACCCTCTGAAAACAGGAAAGAATAAAGCGTTAATCTGATATGGTGAAGAAAGCTGCAAACAGAATATGGAATGAAAATGGGCTGGATCAAGCCAGGAGCAGAAAAGAAAAATATTCCTAGATAGACCCCTCAAATGCATTACTATGGTAGAGGGGCTCAGAATGTGACCAGATAGCAGTAGCATTTAGCAATAGCATTTAGACTTATATACTGCTTCACAGTGTCAGGTTCCAAACTGAAGGAAATAAAAGGAGACAAACCTGGATGGCTGCTATCTTAGTTTAATCACTTCTTGGCACTCACTGACAATCACAGATGAAAATCTTGTTAGGGCTACTGCCCTGTGCCCCCCACCACCTTTTATCCATTAGTTATCACCACCCAATGCAGATGCTGGGCTGAAACAAGGTTTGTGCGTTCCTCCCCTCACGAATGGCAGCTTCATGCCAACAGCACACTGGAGCTGACACACAGTGCTTTACAGTCCTCTCTAAGTGGTTTACAGAATCAGCATATTGCCACAACAATCTGGTTCCTCATTTTACTGACCTTGAAAGGATGGAAGGCTGAGTTAACCTTGAG